AAAGGGTTAATATACATAATATAAATAACGAGCAGTAGGGACGAACATAATATATGTCGTCATTCGTTACAATAAATTGGTCAATAAATTTGTAAATTACAAGAATAAATAAACGAGAAATCAATGAAAATAACTCTCAGTTGGCTGGCACATCTAATTACCATTTCCCTGTTTACCTCTTCGAACACGATCGATAAATCGACGACTGGTTTTATCGTTTTCTATTTAGTTCATCGAGAAGTTCTACGCGTCCTATACGACGAAGTTCAGATTCTTCCGTGAAGAAGAAACCGCGCGAAAAGAAATGCTTCCGCCCGAGCGAATTCTACGCGGAAGCTCCGTCGTCGCCGAGTCATTCGACGCAGTTTCCCGACGTCCAGTCTCGCGTCGTACCACCACGAGAACAAGAAAGAGATCGAGGGGGACGAGAGGGTGGAACGTGGTTGAACGTGGGCGCGGCGATCTCCCCGCGAAGCTGTCCAAAGATCTCAGAAGTGGCCCAGAGGGGATCAACGACGGAAGTTCGATGGCAGAGAGATTTTTGGCTCTTCCACAGAGTTTATTCCCCGTTCCGAGATTCCATCCTGCCGCCCATTAGAGGTATCCAATTTCTCCTTCTACCTAACCACCCACACCCCCCCCCCCCGTTGATCCCAGCTCGACTGGCCGTTTTCTCTTTTCCAACAATCGGATCCGGCATGGCGAGCCGGAAAATGGAATCCGAACGAACTCTGTGCGCCTTTAAAGAACATTATTTTTCCTTTAACGTCGTCCTTCCGTTTTATTTTTGTCTGAAGAATGCCTCGTTTCGCAGTTAGGTGACATTTCACGGAACGCGGTTATTATTCATCAACCATCCACTCTCAGGCACGTACAAACGTACATGTAGATACGTACAGCCTTCTGTCGAATGGCTTATTTCGCTTAATACTCCTTATCTCCTGCCTCAATTAGGCGGTACATTGTGCCGTGATAATCTTTGAACCAACCAATTATCGTTCTCGCACGCTAAGATAATTTCATTTAACGATCGATCGTATGGCCTCGTATGCGAGAACGGTAATTAAACGATCATACACTGCCTCGGGTTGTCTTCTCAAAGAAACTACTGCGTTGTTTATCTCGGTTTTAAACCGCCTCGACTGGGGGCTTTACTGACTGAGAATTTCGCGTTGTGCAACTCTGGGGATGGATCTTTATTGGATATTAGATTATATGGATTTTCTATTATACAGAGT